ACCCCCCTCCCCCCCCCCCCCCCCCCCTCACCACACACACACACACACACACACACACACACACACACACCCCTGGTGGGGCCTTCCATACTTTCATTCATTCAGCAAGCATCAAATGGTCACAACTGGTCAGGCCTTAGCTTAGGGGACCCAGTACTGAACAAGACTGAAATGTCAAACGCTGAGTGGAGCTTACAGCAGGTCTGGAAGAGGGGCATGTGTGGGGCAGAGAAGTACCTGATGTGCCCTTGAACTCAGGGAGATTCGGGTTCAGGCCAAGTCAAGTTATGGCCTGGGTAGGAGAGCACCATGAACGGTTTTCAGGTCCAGCACTTCTCACCATAGGAAAGGGGAGTCCCACAAATGCCCAAGCCCCCAGAGAAAATTGTGGATAAAGTGGGCTAAAGCCAGAAACAGAAGAAATTCCTTGCCCTGGTAGGAAGGAGGGGGGTGACTTCTGTCCCCTGTCCACACCTGCAGACTTGACATCGACACAGACTAGCATCTGTGGGAAGTGGACTCAACTCCACAGAAGAACAGGGCCCCTTTCTTCCACTTCCAGCCTCTCGTCCACGTTCCAGATAAGCAACCCACTGGGTGAAATATGCCAGACATTAGAGCCTCGTGGAGACCAAGCCCCAAAGGCAGAGTGAACACACAACCAGTTCATCCCGTGTAATTAAAGTGAATCCATTCCGTCACTCAGCTTCCATTTATTGAGTCCTTACTATTGCCAGGCTCCAGGGATGCTGAGCAGAAGACAGTCTGAGCTACAGGGAGGGAGACGGGTAAATATATAATGAATTCGACTGTGATAAATGCTACAGAGAAGTAACCTCTTACCCAGAAGCACTGACTCAGAAAGCCTTCCTGGGATCCTGTTGAGTCATAAAGGAAGGCCCGGAGTTACCAGTGTCCTGCCCTCTCCTGAGTGCACACAGCCCCTCTGGTGATATAGAGGGCAGGGGCAGGGGCAGAGGCAGGGGCAGGGGAGGGGCAGGGGAGGAGGGAATAATAGGGAGGAAGAGGCAACCCAGACAGAGGGAGAAGCTTGTGCCAAGTCATGGAGATAGCAGAGAAGGCGGTCTACGCCAATGAGTAGACTTCACTGGAGGCAGATCTCAGCAAGTATGGAGTTGGTTTGCAAATCAGACAAGAACACTGGGAATAGTATAAAGAAGAATTAGATTTTTTAAAAAATTACTAGAGGGGTGTTTGGAGGGGAGGATTTAGATGGAAAAGAGTTGCTTAAACGCTGGGGAAAGAATAAGTAACGTGAAAAAGATTGCCAATATGGTAGTAGGAGCAGATAATTGGTAGATCAAGGTCCTGAAAGGTACAAATCAGAGACTGACCATTATTCAAGACCTTCCTAAATCCAGGTGAGCCTTGTTCTGTCTAAGAGACATGATCCCAAAGGATTGGGATTGGATTAAATAATGTATAAATACTCCTCTAGTCTTAATAGTTCTTGATTCCTCTAATCAAGGTTTCCATTGAGTAAGTCTCCTTGACATCTACTAGGATCCTATGATGACTTTGAAAAATAAAGAATGCTTTGCTTATATAAATAAGTTACTCATCATTGTGTCTGCTCTAGCTGGTTAAGGTTTTATACTGTTTTATTTTTTAAAGAAAAGGGTGGTGGCCTTTTCCCACCTTCCTAACCCAACTGACATGAGCCAGTCCATCTTGAGGATGGACTCCCCTCCCCTGGAAGGATCATTCTGGAAATTTTGTGAGTGGTGCACAGGAAGTGGGCATGACTGGGGTAGGGGGCCTCTTGGAAGGTTGACTAAAGTGGGTCCAATTCCAGAAAAATGTGGTGAAAATGGAAAGAAAAGGAAATGCCAGTGCTTCAGCCATTCTGACATGGACTCAGCCTCCTCCCCTCCAACATCCTCCTCTGTCTGAATTCACACACATGCCCTGTGAGCTACCAGGAAGGCATGTGTCTCCAAGGACTGGCTAGCTGTTGACCACAGCCACCTCTTCTTCCTCCTAGGCGCACAGCTAGATTAAGTCCCAGCCTCCCTGGCAGTTAGTTAGGTGTGGCCATGGGACTGAATGAAATGTGAGTGGAAGTGATAAATGTCATTTATAGGCTTGGCTCATAAAGACCAGCCACTCCCCTGCGGTCTTTCCCCTTCCACAGAAACCAAGGGAGACTCGTGTGGAAATGAAGATGGTGGAACCACAGTTGGAAAGAGCTTGAGTCCCTGAATCGCAGCCTAGAGGCGATCCACCTGCTCGCTGATCAGGAACACGGGCCTCAGACTTTACCGAGTGGGAAATAAACTCCTACTGTATCACGCCATTGAGATTTTAGGGTGCTACCTTACGTAATGCAGTCTCATTTTCTCTTGGCTTTTACCCACAGGTTCTCAAAGTTGCCATAGTGGGAGGGGCCAACACCCTTTCCAGCCCTAACCATGTCCTGAGCTTTAGGACACTGTCCTGGCCTTGGGGGACCAGGGATCCCCTTCCCTCCCTGGAGAGTGTTTGTGGGGTCTTGAGGAGTTGCTGGAGGACAGTATCAGATACTCTTTATACGGCAGAGCCTTCGTTTCCAAGATCTACTTAAAGCACACACATCACAAACTCGTCTGTAGTTGGTGAAGAGTGGGATTCAAGGCAAGGCGGTGTCTCCTGGCCCTCTCCAGCCCTGGTGGCTCAGTTGTGAGACACCAAAAAGCTCTGATGGAAAGATGGGCCACTGGGCCAGGAGCAGGAAACCAGGTGCTCGTCCTGGCCACACGAATCTAGAAAGTCTTTCCTTCTCCAGGCCTCCATTGCTTCAACTAGAAACTGAAGAGGTTGGAACTAGATGTAATCATTAAAGCCCCTTCCAGCTCTGACATTCTAAATGCCTCATCAGGGATTATGAATGCAAATGTTTCGGGGACTAAGCGTGTAAGTGGGCCAGGTGGGGACTGTGGCTAATTGGAGAACTCATGTCCTCATGTCTCACAAAAACACCTGATCATTGCCATGTGAAGGTGTGCCTGGGTTGTGATTCTGATTTTTAAAGAAAAGCCATAAATCCAGACACCCTTAACATCAAATAGCATGATTTTTAAATATTCCAAAGAAATGTTTTACATTTATAAGCACTAAGCAGACCAAATAAGGCACACCTGGGAACCAGCATCATTCCTAGAGCTGCCAGTTCAGGACTTCTGAGTAAGGAATCCCATGGCAGGGGGCCCTTGGGCCAGAGCAAGAGCCAGGTGACCAGCCACTTGCCAGCTTTCAGGAGGCGGGCAAGGGTTTTTAGCCAAGATCCTGATGCTCTGAAACCCCACAAGAGGGTCCCAGAACATGCACACACCTCTCCCGGGGCTCACAGCTTCTGTGTCTCCCCTGGGCGGTCCCCCTGGACACTGACCCAGAGACCTGGGCTTCTCATCCACTTCTTATCTTCCTCAACCCTCCCCTCTCTCCCATCACTGTTCCCAATAGAGTCAACCTGGTGCAGGTGGGAAGGAGCAAGCACTGAGTACAGATAAGCACTCCCCGGCCTGGTCTGCCCTGGACACACCGGCGGCCCCTTCTGGCCCACAGCTCTATCCTCATTGAAAACAGCCAATTCTGAGGATGCTTTAGAGGCTCAACTCCGGAATCAGGAAATGCAGCGGATGAGCCAACAGCGTGCTCCCTGGCCAGGCTGTGGGGGAGTGAGGACCGTGAGTCACAGGCAGCCAAGTGGGGCCTCAGGATGGAAACCTGGGCACAAGGCCTTCCTGCTTCTCAGACGACAGCAGAGCCCAAGCCCAGCCCATTGCCTGCTGGTCGTTAATTCCATGCCTCGGAGATCAAACCTTGGGTCGTGCTACTCGGAAGCATTTTAAAGTCTCCCAGGAGCCAAACTCCACCTCTCAGAGAAGCCCCTTTCAGCCAGGCATTTCCTAGCTGCCTTGTCCACCTGCTCCCAGTGACACACATTCACAGAGATTTGTCACTCAGGATATGGGCTCGTTACCGTTTCCAAATGAGGTCAGTGTATCACTCAGGAGGCGTCTCCCTCCTCTGAGTTCCTTACACACACCCCTCCCTTAATGCTGACTTCTAAACAGAAATTAGGGAGCAAAAGGGTCCTGTTTCCATGCCTTCCTTCCAGGGATCCAGGAACAGCCAATCTTGCTTAAGTCTCTCTCTCTTACTCGCTCTTCCCCCTGTCCTCTCCCTCCCTCTCTCTCTTTTCTTCTCTCTCTCTCTCTCTCTCTCTCTCTCCCCTCCTCCCCTCAAAACACCTTCTGCTGGAGCTAAGGACTTCCCCTTCAGAATCCTAAGGGAATGGCCACAGGAGGTTGGCATGAGGTTTCCTTCTCCCAACAGGTTTTTCCTGGTGATCTTAACTCACTCCTAACATTAAAAACAGCCCGGGGAGGATGACTCACTCTGCAGCCCAGACAATGTGCACGTCCTGTGCCTTGGCAGGGCTAAGGCTTCCTCCCTCGGTGCTGCCATCAGAGTCCACCCGAGGCAAAACTGGGCAATGAGCAATGTTTGCCCTCAGCTCCCCCTCCCTTCTGAGCATTCCTCTGTCCCTCTGCCCTCACGCTGACCCAGGCAGGCCGGTTCCCACAGTCCGGCCATTCCTGAACTCCTTTGCGCCCATCAAAGCTTCACGTCAAGACCCCCTAAGTGCCCACCTCTCTACTGGGCAACACGGCTGGCTATTGATACACCTGGATACAGCCAAGAACTCACTGGCCACGGAGACAGAAGACTCAAGTTCTAGTCCTGGTCCTGCTAATTTTTAGCCATATTTTCTTGGATAAGCCTCAGCTCTCCAGTTGCATCATCTGTAAAATGAGATAATGATGTCTTCCTTGGCTCCTTCACAGGGACCAGGCAAGCTTCTGAGTCTCCACTGTCTCATCCTGTTAATTGGGGATAATAACACCATTCTTGACCACTTCACAGGGTTGCTCTCAGACTCGAAGGAAACCACGTATGTGATAGTGCTTTGAACACAGGGAAGTGCTAGATTCAAGAAGTGTGATGGGGAGAATCACACATGCCTAACAGCAGCCTCTTGGAGACAGTGCCTCGACCTGGAGAGGTGAGCCTGCTGTTTGGAGTCTGGGAACCTTAGACCTGAGAGGGAGATGTGCTGGGGCAGGTGGGCCTCTTGGAATCTGTCAGATGGCATCACAGATGCAGCTGTCTTCTCTGCCCACACCCCTGGCCCAATGGTGCCCACGTGGCTGAGGTTTCCTTCCTGCATGACACCAGCAGCCTCCGCTGCAGTCTGACAGCCCTATCTGGAAGGTGACCTGCTCCTTGCCCATTTCTCCTTGTTCTTCCTGCTCTTCCCAGTGTCTTTGGCACTTCCTGAGCATTCTGCATCCCTCCACCCTAGAAAGCAAGCTCCATGGGTCTGCTCAGGGCTCGCCCCTCACAGGGTCCTGGGGGCAAGCTCTCCTAGCTGAGCCTGAGCCTGGCCAGAAACCTGAGTGATGCTGAGCAACTGCACCTGGTTCTGTGGTGGTGACAACAGCAGAATAACAACGACACTTAGTATTGATGTCACGCCGCCCACCAGGATGCCTGGAGGCACTGCGCAGAGTCCTTCCAAAGCTCCTGCTGTCCCATGGCTTATGTCCCAGCTGTGTCGGAAATGGGAAAACACCACAAAAGAAGTCGACATCAGAACCGGGTGTCCTGGGTTCCACTCCAAAAATCCAAAGAAAGAAATGTTCAGCTCTACTGCTGACATGCTGTGTGAGTTTCAAGTAGATCCTCCCCTTCTCTATGTGCTACTTAAGTGGGAACATAAAGAGCTGCATTTCCCTGGTGAAATGAGGGGGTAGAGGAGGTAATTCCTGACCTCTTAAGCATTGCACATAGATTCTGACCTTAGCCAACAGGTCCCTTGGTTCAACTTTCAAGTCCCTTGAAAGTAACACACCTATAGGCACACCTTGAGGAAGGCAAGCTCCTCTCATCAGACACAGGAGAAATGTGGACACCCTGGTGCAGGAAACTCGAGTGTGGAGATAAAAAGCAAGCAAGGGCAGCTCATTAAAACCACAACCATTTGGGGTTTTGGCTTGGAGATTCCTAGTCTTCCTCTGGCCCCTGAAGGAAATGCCGATGTGGAGGTAGGTCTGCCATCCCTTAGCCAGGTTTGTTGGCCCAGAAGCTGGATGGCTGCACCGCATAGCAACAGCACCAGCCGCATTCCCTCTCCCGGGCTCATTTCCAACCCTCCAGGGTAGGCAAGCGGCTTCGGGACTTGCAGTCTTAGGGGAAGGGGAAACCCTAGCTGAAGTGCCAGAGCAACCCTGGCGCTAGTGCCAACAAGTGGCCCGCACAGCTGCAGGACTCAAATGGGGCAGATTGACAAGCCAGGGGTGAGAGGAGCCCCTCTCTTCCCCTCTGCCACTGCACCATCCACCCCTTCCGCCCCCACCCGACCCTGGAAACCACCTTACCCACCTCATCCTTACTCTCCCACCCCACCCCAGCCTCCTTTCCCGCCCAGTACGCCCCTAGAGGGGATCTGTTCCCGCAGCAGTCGGGCACTGCCATGTGCTCGCCCCCTACCTCGGTGGCCATGTTCCGGGGGTGCTGACCGCTCGAGCCGACTGAGGGGTTGGGCAAGGATGCTGTCCGCGGTGCCGTCCGCAGGTGGGCTGGCGGCGGCGAAATGG